CGGGAACCGAATTCACGACCTTGCACTTGCCAGGCAGGCGCTTTGCCGCTGAGCTAAATCCCCAGCCCCATGTGCTTTATTTTTCAAGAGGTTAGAGTCAACTGCCAAGCAGCATAGGGCACCTTTAGGTGTTTCCTTCCTGGGATCCAGTATAGAGGGACAGCGCTGGGGTGCCTGCCTCAGTCCTGGTAGGTTGGTGCTGGATTACAGATGTAATGAACACAGGGATGGGCAGCAGGGGTAGCCCTGAGGAGAAGCGCCTGTAATCTGTAATCCAGCACCAACCTACCCCTCCGCCTCCCAGGTGCTGGATTACAGATGTGTCCCACCACACCCAGTTTAAAAGTGACTTCTTGACAGGAAAGTGTTCGGATGTGTTGAGGTTTATTTCTTATAACCTGTCCTAAGCATTCTCTGGTGCTGGATCTTCCTCAGCAGAACTCCAGCACTCTGGGATCTGCCAGTTGAAAAGAGGCTACTCCAGGTGCCCAGGGTAGGCAAGGAGCCAGGCTGTGAGGGCAGGAACTTCCAGATTGCCTGTCCACAGCAGTTGCGGTTGAAGCCTAGGTTGCTCCACTGAAAAGCTTGCAAAGGCAGGCCAGACGGGTCCTTCTGAGAGAAATTCCACTCCCATCTCTTTGCCTGCCTTCAATTCTGCCCACCAGGAAGCACACCCGGGAGCAAGGGAGTGCAGAAAGCTGTCCTCTGAGAAGGAAAGGGACAGCCCTGCGGCCTGTAGCTACTGCTTCTACCTCTCCAAGCAAACCCCACTCCTCACTCAGAGGGATGTTTGGGAGAAGAAGGCCACAGACCAGATCTCAGTAAATCACTCAGTGCACACAAACTCCTGATGTAAAAACCTATGGCCCTCTTAGACGCATTTCCTGCTTCAGTCGAGCAAATCACACCTCTCTGCAGGCCAGCAGCTCTCTGGGAGGGTTTCTACACCTAGCAGGGAAAAGCCACTAACCCAGATGCTAGCACTCCTGGGGCTGGCAGGTGGGTTAGGGACATCAGAGGAGGACAACAAGGTAGCGACCTGGACAGCAGCCTCCACTACGGTGGCCAAATTTTCTGACTTCCCAGTGGAAGTCAGAAATATATTTAAAAAATTTTTATTATGACTTTCATACATAAAAAATAATGAGAATAGTGAAACGAGCCTTCATATACCTGCTATCTGGATTTAATAATTATCAAAGTTTGCTGCCCTTATTTCATTTATTTATTTTAAAGATTTAAAAAGTGCAAAATCTCCAAAATTAGATGTTGACTTAAAGTATTTTCTTTGTGTGTGTACCAGGAATCAAACTCATGACCTCGCACTTGCAGGCAGGCGCTGTGCCACTGAGATATATCCCCAGGAGCTTAAGGTCTTGAGAAGCACATATATACCAACTTGATGTTCCTGTGACTCAGCTTCATCTCAAGGGTCACCAGTGTGCGCTTCTCCTCAGGGCTACCCCTGCTGCCCATCCCTGTGTTCATCCCTGACCCCGGGCCTCGTCCCATAACTCCTTCAAGGGTCCCCTGCGTCACATCTGCATTACACTGGCTTCAGCCAGCTGGGCTATGCTTTGGAGACAATATGGGTGGAGTAGGAAGAAATCTCACCAGATCTATCAGGTAGTTTCATTAGATCTTCTTAGGGCACTTGGGAAGGAGAATTTAAAGGGACAATTCATTAATTCAACAAATATTTATTGAACACTCACTATGTGCTGATAGGTACTTTGAACATAGCACTGGATTAAGCTAAAAATTTCTGCCTTATGAAGTTAATGTTTTTGTGAGAGATAATGGGTGACTGGAAAGGTGATTATGCATGTGTGTTCATGTGTGTGTATATTTTTGTCTTCCTTTCTGGCTAGGTGAGGATAAGGCTGCTGTCCTCCCAGCCCTAAGAAGTCTGGCATCCAGGCACATGAAGGCACCCAGGAGAGGGAACAGAGAAGAGCCGTGATGGACAGAGGCGAGGACAGCGCTGAAGGTGGAGTACGAAACCCTCCTCCTGCAGTTCTCAGTCACAGGAACACATGCAGACCCTTTTGGGTTAATTCAAGTTGGGTTTCTGCCCCCTGCTGCCCAAAGTGTCTTGCTAATGTATTTGCGCACCAGCTGCGCATCCTCGGTGTGTGCTTGACCAAGTCGTGGGAGGAGTTCCTGGGGAGCGGAGGAAGCTGGGCAGCTACTGACCAGCTTGGAAGAAGGGCAAGGAGTTCTGCATGTGAGCAGCATCTCGCTGTCTGAGGTGCTAGCCACGCTGGATTTTTGTCTGCAGATTGTCCTGGAGGGTCCGCTGAGCATTTCTTCTCAGGCCAGTGAATCAAGTCAGCCTCTCATGTTCCAGAACTTAAGGGAGTGATGCTGGCCTGGATGGTGGTAACTTCGGTCTTGCTGTAAATGGAAGGGAATTGAGGGCGGCAGCATAGGAGTTAGCTCCTTGCCCGTGAAGGCGGGGAGATAAGACAGTTAAACACACCCACATCTGATTTGACCAGTTCGGTGCCTCCTTCACTGGGTTGTGTAGGGTGACTCTCCTACAGTTTGCCGTAGGGAAATATTACTTAACTTTGCAAAGCTTCAGTTTCCCTGTTAAGTGGAAATAATATCTATCCTATAGTGGTTAGGGTGAAATGAAAAGCATGTGTGTGAAGCATCTAGAACATGGTAGTTGCTTATTAAACATGCATCATCCCTGTGCCTACTACTACCTGTTCTCCACATCAGTTAATTCTGTTTTCATGGTATCTACACAGACAGCCAGACACAGACACAGACACACCTACCCACATAGACACAACTGTTTCAATCAGCTGCCATATGTTAAAGGCCGTGATCTGACCAGAACTGCAAACGCAAATTCTGTTCTCATTTGGGCATCATTAATATTGATCCAAAAGGAAAGCATTTAAGGAATAATAAGTAATTTCATTTGCGATGTGCTTTATTTCCATACATTACTTTTGGTAACACTCCATTGTTGAATCTTCTCAGGAACTTGACACGTAACCCTGCATTGTTTCAGATTTGGAAATAAGCTCAAGAAGGTGGAGTGTAAGAGTCAGAGAACTAGAAAACTGTAAGGGACCTGTGTCCAGCATAGGACGGTTTTGGAACAGCCACTTTGGAGCCACAGAAAGGCCCTGAGGAGCACTGGTGGCTAGATTGGGTGAGGAATGACACCTGGAAGGCTTGGGCGCCTGCTCTTGCTGGGAATGAGGTGTGGTAAGAGAGCGCTGCCATGAGGGAGTTGTTGTTGTGTGTGCATGTGTGCGTGTGTTTGTCTCCGTTTTCCACTTAAGGGAACTGAGGTTCATTAAGGCCAAAGGCATATGATTGTGAAAACTCATGCAAGTCCTGTGATTTAAATTCTATAGAACTTTTCTCCCCCAAACCCTTAAGTTTTCGAAGTGCTTTATGGTTTATAAAGTATGGGAGGATGAATAGATGCAACTGTTAGTATTGACTTATACAGTACTTGGCAAAGGCAAAGGCATAATTAGACGGAAAAGGAAACACAATACTGGGAAGCCCTTTGCAAATCGTGCCACGCTCTGAAAATGTTCGTGTTTCCCTGATGTCATTTGTTTGTTTTTGCTATGGAAGTTTAAAAGAGACCTTTTAGACGGGAACAACACCATCAGCTTCTCTGGGTTTCAGGCATTCTCTGGGGAGGGGATTACTGTATATATAAACCTTTGTATATATATATATGATTTTATATATGCAAAACTTTATGTACATGTAAATTACACACACACACACACACACACACATGCAAGCACTCCTGCCCTATTTGTTTTGTTTCTCTGGAGAATCTTGTGGGTTGGGTGGAGTTGGGCTGTGAAGTGACTTGAGACCCCAAGACATTGATTGTGCTGGTATTGACTTACTTTTAAGGTGTGGCTAGGTGTTGGATATTGGCCCTGAGAGAGGCATAGGATCTCCTCCTCAGCTGCCCCATAGACTGCTGGTCAATTCCTGTTAACCGAGTGGGAACCAAACTCTGAAGCACGTGAACATGTCCCTCTTCTTGGAGCAGTCCTCTGGGGCTCACACTTCCCATACTCAGGACACCAGCTTCTGTGTGGAGTAGCGGAGACAGGTCAGATAGTATACACCTAGGAATGTTTCTGCTTGTCCACTGCAGAAGGAAGGGGCTGTGGAGCAGGGGGTCAAGCAGACACTCTATCCCCACACTATTGAGGTCCTGGGGCTTCCAAGGAAGAATGCCCCTGCCCAGAGTTTGAAGGTCAGTCCTCTCAAACTCCTCTCACCTGCCACAATTCCATCACAGCCTCTTCACTAGTGGAAAGAGCACTACGCACAGAGGTAGAAGATTTGACAGCACTGACTATGCTGTTGCTTCTGGGTGACCTTAGGTAAGTTGCGGCTCCCTGGTTTGTGCAATGTGGAAATAATCAAATCTATTGCACTTGTTATATTGAAATGCAGTGAGAAAATTTAGTGAATAGACTTTGAAAGTGTATGCAATGCTACACAGTCATAATGTATTATTATTATTATTATTGTTATTATTACTAAATCTGAGCTCTTACACATTGCTCATGGTTTTTTAATATGCCTATCTTAGGGACACTAAACCCAAGTGCTTTTTAATATACAGACAAATCACTTAAGATCTTACAAAATGCAGATTCTGATTCAGTAAGTGTGGGTAGCCTGGATCCTGCATTTTCAAGCTCCAAATCCCTGTCAGTACTTTTGAGGTAACGAGCTATATTGCTTCCTTCAGAGAAAAGGAGAGGGCAATATTCCTGTAATGGGTTAATAACAAACAGCTTAGAGAATACAACAGAAATATGCATTTATTATAACAGTTCATAGTCAAAGGTGGCCTGTTGGTCACAGAAGGCAAATTTTGGTTTTGGGAAAAGTGAGAGAAGGAGGGAGGGAAGGAGAAAAGAAGAGGGGGAAAGAGGGAGGGGAGGGGAGACAGACGAGGGGGGCCTCAGACTCCAGAAGCCCTGGCCCGATCACTTCCTGGACTTCTCTGGAGAGCAGCCTCCATTGGTCTTATTAAGAGAGTCTGTGCTGCCCATTCTCGAGCCCCCACTGTTGAGAATTTTATCAATTTCCCCTGGGATGTTCTGCTTCTCCTCATTCTCAGTCTCTCGGTGGTAGAAGTAGTTGAAGTTGGAGACGATGACTGGCACAGGGAGGGCGATGGTGAGGACCCCTGCAATGGCGCACAGAGTGCCCACAATCTTCCCCCCTGGGGTGGTAGGGCACATGTCACCATAGCCTACAGTTGTCATGGTGACCACTGCCCACCAGAAGCCGTCAGGAATGCTAGAGAAATGGGACTCTGGCTCATCCACCTCAGCAAAGTAGACCGCACTGGAGAAGAGGATGACTCCAATGAAGAGGAAGAAGATGAGCAGTCCCAGTTCTCTCATGGAAGCTTTCAGCGTCTGCCCCAGGATCTGCAGCCCCTTGGAGTGGCGGGAGAGCTTGAAGATGCGGAAGACCCTCACCAACCGGATGATCCTCAGGATGGCCAGGGACATGTTCTGCTGGGCACTTGGTTCTGTCTCTTGGACCAGCTCTGTGATGAGAGTTGCAAAGTAGGGAATGATGGAGATGATGTCAATTATGTTCATGATGTTCCTGAAGAAGTCAGGCTTGCTGGGGCACACCACGAACCGGAGAACCAGCTCAAAGGTGAACCAGATGATGCAGGTGGACTCCACCACAAAGAAGGGGTCAGTGAACATGGTCTGCGAAAGGGCTGTCGTGTTTGTGTTGAGGCTAGGATCTCTGACCACCTTCAGCTCCCTGTCCTCCCGGAATTCAGGCAGCGTCTCCAGGCAGAAGATGGTGATTGAGATGACCACAACCAACACAGAGATCACCGCCACACCACGGGCAGCGCTGGAGCTCTCAGGGTACTCAAATAGGAGCCAGAACTGTCGGTGGAATTCATTGGTGGGGAGCAGAGTTTCAGGGTCTTTGATGAAGCCTTCATCCTCCCGAAACTGGTCCATGGCCTCACTACCTAGCTCATAGAAGGAGATCTCATCAGCAAAGACATCAATAGGGACATTGGCTGGCCGCCGGATTTTACCACCAGACTGGTAATAATACAGGATCCCATCAAAACTGGGCCGATTGCGGTCAAAGAAATACTCATTTCTCATGGAGTCAAAGAACTGCATCCTTTTCTCCCGGTCCCCTAGGAGGGTCTCTGGGAACTGATTGAGAGTTCTTAGCTGGGTCTCAAACCTTAGCCCAGCGATATTGATGATCACTCGCTGGTTTCCTTCATTCAAGGTCACAGGCTCAGGCCCCGGTGGATCGACATAGTCTCCTGGGAACTTGGAGAAGGTAGTTTCATGGTTGGTGCTGTCACTGATGAGGATCCTCCAGTTGGAAAAGGGGCTGCTCCCAGTCCGGCCTTTTGGGTTTGTTGGATCAAAATCTGTGGCATACCCTGGCTCTTCTTGGATTTCATCTGAGTTATCAAAATTGACCAAAGCAACCTCCATTTCTTTCCAGCCACACACATCCATTCTAGGGTGGTTCAGGGAAGCAGCATGAAGACTCCCAGTCTTCACTGCATGCTGTGAGCTGTGGAGAAGAAAAAATTCATTATATCTGAGTCAGGGTAGGATACTGCTAGCTCTGGATTATTGAGGTAAGGCACATCAATGGATTAAACAATGAATTCTTTTTAGCTTGAGAAGGAATGTTATGGTTGGTTCACCAGCATTCCTTTCCTGAAGTCAATTTTCAGCCCCTGAGTTTACACATATGAATAACTGCTAGAAATTGCAAAGAAAGGGCCTGGTAGAGAAAGACAAACTTTCCCCAGCAAAGGAAAATCTATATATACAATGACAGAGAGGGGTCACAGTAAAAGAGAACTTTTCTGGTTAATAAAAATATAATTTTGTATTTGTGTGAAGTCCTTCAGTCTACCCAATACTTTTCCACACACATTTGGATTCTTTACTCCTTTTTTTCATGTTCAACAATGACTCTCTCATACATCTTTTTGGTTACAGCTCCAAAATATATCTAGAAGTCTATCATTTCTCACCACTTCCGCAAACTACTACCTCTTGGACCAAGTGGAGAAACCTGGGAGTGGATGCCTGAAAATGGCCAGGATTCTGTCTAGAAGAAGAGGCTAGAAGAAGGGTGACCTAGCAACACTGTCCTCTATGGTAATGAGCTGTTTGTGCCTTCAGCCCCTCATGTGGAAGTAATTTCTAGGGCTCTGAGGGTACATGAAATGAGATGCATATGTAAATGCCTGGCAGAACGATGATTATGTTATAGCTATTGTTTTTGCCAAATTCCCCACATCACAGGAGCTTCAGAAACCACCAGCCACTGGAATTTTTTGGCTTGAGACCAAGGTTTTCATGAGAAATAATTTAATTTTAAAAATCATTTTGGTTGGAGTATAAGTAAATCTGTGTGTGTACGTGTTGAGGGTGGAGTGGGGTTGGGGAAGCAAGCCCAATGGACTTGGATATCCACAGACACAGATTAACGTTCCTGCCTGAGGTCCATGCTAGCTTCAATTTCAGTAGAAGGACACTGAAGCTTGGCAGGCTGGAGTGAAGATTGGAGAGAGGTGGGGAACTTAGCTTGAGGCAAAATCTGCAGTGGTCACGGCTTTGGAATGGTTTCATTTACAAGTTATAGGGCTTTCCTGCAATGTACAGTGTTTTCATCTCTGCAAAGTGATTCCAGATCCCTTTGTCTCACTGGATGACAATAGTTGTTTGAGGTTAGATGATGTTGTCTCTGTTGAATTACAAGGGCCAACTGACTTCCCCAAGATTACATAGCTAGAGTTAAAGAGCCTCAATCCCAACCTTATCACAGCCTCCTGATACAGGGCCTTTTTCACTACATCACAGGGTCCCTGTGTGGAGCCCAGGCCTCATGGTGGAGCTGTGGACCAGGGCTACAGAATCATGGAAACTCCATGCTCCTTGGGTCCCAAGTCCTTTTTTCTAGTTCAAGTGCCACATGTGTGGTGATGAGATCCGCTGCGGCCAGATTGCTGAGCACTTCTTAGGACCAAGTGGCCTTCACAAGCTTCCTAATTTTATCAAGCTGCAACTTCCTCTGTTGTTGACTGCCGAGCATGTCAGGTGCTGGCCTTGTGCACGGTGCTTGGTGAACGATACGGTGGTTGGAAGGTAGGTGTGGCAGTGGTGAAAACTCCAAGAATAGAGTCAGTTGACCGGAGCTTGAATCTGGTTCTGTGCGTGGTTTGCTGTGGAGAAGCATTAACTGCACATGCAGGTCCATTGCCCAGTTTGGTATGTGGATTATTATAGACATAAGGAATAAAGAGCCAATCCTGGGAACAAGAGACCTGGCTTGAGGCTTGGTTCTACCACACAGGAATATATATTTTTTGAGCAAATCCCTGTATTTTATGACCCTTAGTTTTCTGATCTGTGAAATGGTAAAATAATGATAATTCCCACATCTAAGATTATACTGAGAATCAAATAAGGTATAACAGTCAAAGCACTTTGTAAATTACTTTAAAATGTAAGGAATTATCCGCCACACTTCCCTCCCTTCTGCTCCACACATAAACCCAATATAACATCCTTGTGGGAAGAAAACACATTTCATGTGAAGAGTTGCAGGAGGACTTCTCAGCTCACCATCTTCCCCATCTGTTCTGCCTGACCTGCCTCCATGCCTGTGTCCCTGTTTTGTCCTGCCTGTCATACACTTTTCCCTGAGAATGTCACATCCTGCCTCGTCTGTGGACCCCCAGTCCAGTTGGAAGAGTCCCTGCCTTTCCTGGGCTTCTAGTCCACCTACACTGATCACTTGGGAGTGCCGGTGACCATGGGATGAGCCTCAACTCCTAAACTCTCACAGGTTTTCATGCTGTAGGACAGTGTCTTATAGCATTTTCCCACTGCCTTGTATGGTCTTGAAAGACTCACCCCTGATTCCTACTTCTGTCACCCCAGCGTCAAGCTTGAAGTAGCAGCTAAGAGAGTGGCGGATGGGGATCAGATTGGTGGGATAGTGACAAGTTTGAACAGTGTATTGTGTGACACAGTGATTAACTTCATTAATATAAACTTCCAGAGAATACAAAGTTAGAGGGATAAGCAGATCAGTGGTTGCCTGGGATTGGGGGCGGGGAGGAGAGCGCAGGGTTACAAAGGGCCCGCAGTGAACTTGTGTAGGGGTGATGATTATGTTCCTTGTCTTGATTGTGGTGATGGCTTCACAGGTGCATTCTCATGTCAGAACCCATCACGTTGCATGCTTTACGTCTACTGTGCACCATTTTATCTTAAATATATTAAAAAGAGGTAAAAAAGCAAGCAAGCAAACAAGCAAAAAATAAAAGTGCATGCTTGCCAGTGATTCTTTAAATAACGACCAAAAGAGAGGATGTGGCTTGAGTTGTAAACTGCACAAGCTGTGTGTGAAGACTTGTATGGTGCTCATCATCATGCCCAGCACCATGTCTGCTCTGTTGCAAGGGCTCGGCAAATAGCTTAGAAAGAGTAAATACATGCTGAAGCCTGGGGCCAGTGGTGGTCCTTAAAGCCCACCCGGCAGTACTGCTCCTCTGTAGAGCAGGCAGTGCAGTAGTCACCCTCTTCAGAAATGTGGACCAAGTCAAAGCAACGTCTGGCCATGGCTTCATGCTTGGCATTTTGCCTGATGGTGGGAGATAAGTTGCAGCCGGCAGTGGGAAATACCTGCTCTTCTGGAGAGAGTTCACTCTAGCCCAATGGGTCATTGCAGTTACTGTGTCACAGGAACCGAATTGAAATTGATTTTGCCCTTGGAATCTCAGGTTGGGCTGTCCCCCTGCGCCTTGCAGCAGCTGCCGGAAGGAGACAGATGCTTGAGGTGAGGCGAGTCCTCCAGTGAGGATGAAGCTGCAGAGCCAAGAGTATTTAGGGGCCCGCTCTTGCGTACATCTACTGTGCACCATTTTATCTTCATAAATGTGTAAAAAAGAGGTAAAAAAGCTAGCAAGTAAGCAAACAAACAAACAAAAAATAAAAGTGCATGCTTGCCCGTGATTCTTTAAGATTTTGGTAAGGACCAAAAGAGGTGATGTGGATTGCTTTGTAAACTGCACAGCCCATGTGTGAAGACTTGCGTCGCACTCACCATCACGCCCAGCACCATGCCTGCTCTGTTGCAAGGGCTCAAGCCTGCTCTGGTTGCTGCAGCATGTGAGGTTTCAGTCAGAGTTTTAGATCTTTCCAATCTATCTAGCACTCCAAGGCCTCCACAGACTGACTCTGACGCCACGATGAGATTTAGCTCACCCGTTGCTAAAGTGAGCAACCTTTTTAAGAGTCTTAGGCAATGTCTGATTCCTCTCGTAATCTCTGTGCTAGAGCAGCACAGTGCTGAGACAGCAGCTCTTTCCCCAGGGAACACACTGGGCTATCGTCTGTCTATGTGTGAAGGACCTACCATCTGCATGCTGTTTGTTTCTTCCTCTCCGCTCCCTCCCTTCTTCTTTTTGGCAGTGCTGTAGATCAAACCCAGGGCCTCACGCATGCTAGGTAACGCTCTACCAGCTGAACTACGTCCCAGCCGAACTGCATCCCAGCCCTTCTCACTGTACTTTTAACATCACCCAAAGGGGAGACTCTCCCTAAGGACACCCAGGCATAGATACTTCTGCCCCTCTGAGGACTCCCTAGAAATTTGTCTGTAGTTCTCTCTGGGCATAATACTGTTTGATTTACGTTTTTTGTCCCAGAGCTTTGCTATCCTTTGGGTCCCTTTACATGTGACACACAGGAACAGACTGGTCCACTCACTGTCCTTACATATTCTGTCTTTGCTGACCTTTGCTGGCTCCTTCTTCCCCGAGCCAGACAGACTTGCTCTATGGCTTTAGGACTATTATAACCTCCGGAATGCTGCTTTCTTCTGCTCTGGGTGAATACAGGCAATCTTTCCTGAGGGTCTTGCAAGGAAGAACAAGATGTTAAATGTTGTGTGCAGCACTGTGTCTGGCACACAATAGGATGCCACAGATGAGAGCGAATCTGTCCAGTGGAGCCCTCCCTACCCACTTCTGCTGCCTTGGTGCTGACCACAGTTGTCCCAGTAGCCTCTGCAATCTGTAGCACATCCTGTTGGCACAGAGATGGGGATGAGTCTTTGTGGTGTGATGGTCTGGTCCTTGACTAGAGCTGGCACTTCTTGCAGGCAGGCTATTGAGGGCTGTGCCCTACGCTTCTTCCAGAACATTCCTAGTGTGGATATCTGTGGCTAATGCTGGCACAGCAGATCTGTCTTTGCAAGGTCACAGCTATACCGAGCAGGCAGGGTCTGAGTCCATTCCATGGCCTTTCTGCACAGGTTACCTGCGGTTTCCTAGTAACCCCAGCACCTCCTCCACATTCAGGTGAGGAAGCAGCTGTCCCGAGTCAGAGAATGATTGAAAGCAGTCATGCTACAAAGACAAACATGTACTGTGCCTCAGGGCTCCAAGGCTCCAGGAAAGGCGAGTGCAGGCTGTCGCCGGAAAGCTCAA